AAATATATACCTATTTTTTTCCAATAAAATGTATCTATTGAGAGGACAAACTATATATTTAATTATTTTAATATGCTGATTATAACAAGTAGTATTTTACTACCTAATCAATTTTATAAAATAAAATTATAATATATAAAATAATTTGATTTTTATAAATTAATAATAAGTAAAAAACATCATCAATTTGACAATGCTACTATTTTGGATTTTAATTGTCTTTTAATAATATAAACGTTTCGTTCCATATATTAACTTTAATTTATATCATTCCAAAAGGCATAATTTATCTTTAAAAGATTTTTTATAAATTTTTTTTTTTTTACAAGTTCAAAATCATTTAAGCTATCTCACTATTGTACTGTCAATAAATTGTAATGTTTGTTGTTGCTATAATAAATTATGTGAATTTTAGCTTGAAAATGTTTTCAATTAGGGTATATAAAAAAAAAAATTATTTGAAAAACAGCATCTTAATGTTTTTTAGGATGAATAAAAAACAAAGTTATCGTTCAAAGAGGCGTCGAATCCAAGAACAATTATTAACCTACAGTTCTAATGATAATTTAACTACAACAAATAATATCTATGAAACAGAATTACATATTCAAAGTTCTATATCATGCATTACTGAAATACCAAGGTTCAATATAGTGTCTAATTTCTCTCTAGACTATATGCATTTAGTTTGCTTAGGCACTGTTAAAAAATTAATTTTATTATGGATCAAAAAGGGTCCCTATAATGTTAGACTACCTTCTTGGAAAATTAAGAGCTTATCTTTTGATGCAATAAGCCTTAAGACTTCATTTCCTTGTGAGTTTTCTAGAAAACCTAGAAGTCTTGATGAGTTCTCTCGATTTAAGGCCACAGAGCTGAGAACATACTTATTATATATCTTTTCTATTATTTTAAAAGATCATTTATCCATAGATTGCTATAAACACTTCATGTCATTAAGCATTGCCATGATGATATTATTAAGTCCGGATCATTCAAATTTTTTAAATTATGCTAAAGATTTATTAAAATATTTTGTACATGCATTAAAAGATATATATGGTAGCCACTTTATATCTCACAACATACATGGTTATTACACATAGCTGATGACTATGAGCATTATGGACCATTAGACAACTGCAGTGCCTTTCCCTTAAAAAATTATATGCAAAGACTAAAAAAACTATTAAGAAAACCAGATAAGCCTTTAGAACAAGTAGTACTCAGATACCAAGAAATAAGTATACAACACACCAAAAAGGATACACCTAAAATTGAACAATTTAAAGTAGCTCGCTCACATGACAAAGGTCCATTAATTCTAAACACGACATATCCTCAATATAATATATTAAACTTAAAAACGTTTAAATTTAACACAAAAAATAATGCAGATTCTTACTTTTTATCTTATAAAAATGAAATTGTAAAGTAATTAATATTGCTACTTCAACTGTGACTGGCCAAATTATTTTAATTTGGAAAAAGTTTGAACACATGCTAGATATGTATGATCAACCGATAAAATCCTCACACTTCAATATTTATATAGTGGAAACTTTGTCAAACACACTTTGTTCATGGTCAGTAAATGATATAAAAAAAAAGTAATGATATTTCATTTTAAAAATAAAGCTATTGCTGTTCCATTTCTACATGCCTTGTAAAATTATTTACAATCTACTTAACAACAAATCTTTTAACAGGTCAGAAATTATACTTGAGTGTACTTATTGTGTTGTTTATCTAATTTGTTGTTAATTCAATTTTTAGGATGTGGACAGTTGTTCTTTTTAAAAGTGATAACACAGTTGACGCTGTTCCATCTCATTGTGTGAACACTAGTAAAAATATTTGTGCTTGGCCTAAAAAAGACGTAAAGAAATGCTTAGAACGCAGGCTTCAACCTAATAAAATCGAATATGATTTTTTTCCTGCAAGGATCTTGAAAACCAATATTAGTAAGTCTTTAATTTTATTTGTTGATTTTATTTTTTATGTCTAATAAAACTTGAAAATAAAAACATTATCTTGTAGAAACCTGGCAAGAAGCTAGATCAAAAGCTAAACTAGCAGAGGAAACTTCCGATTTAGATCAAGAACAAAGAAAACGCATAAAACACAGATCCAGTACAGTAACCATTCCAAATCCACCAACCTTTAATCAGGAAAGATATTCAATAGGTAAACCATTATCTTAAGCATGTTTAGTTTTTAGTGAGTTATCTGCTAAAATTACTGCCTATAATAAGGGGGAACATTTTAAAGAAAAATATGCACATTGTCCATTTATATGGACTAATTAATTGTAGTCATACAATTTTTTAGTATTATGAAGGTTGATATAAATGTTTTTATTAAAAGTAGTAAAAATCTAAAATTTTCTTTATCTTTGTGTTTCAATGTGGTAGAGGTACTTACAATTAGTTAACTAAAAATAATAGAGCTGTTTTATGCTATTTTATTTTATTGTAATTTTGTGTTATTATTTATTAGTCGATGAAAACAGAAGCGACACTAGTGAAAATCAAGATGACATTGTTAAAGAACCATCATATAAGCTAACCAAAGAAAATAATTTATTAGGTGAGAAAATATTATAATAAGAGCTATTTTACAAATTAAGTTTAAAAAGATGCTACTAATATGACTAGTTAATGAGGTATATAAAGTTCTAAATATTTTATATATTATAGTGGTAGAAGATTCCAGTGATGAAAACATGGGAAAAAATCCTTTATTATGTTTAAACAAAAGACAAGCATCTGATTCTCCTGTATCAAGTGAAGGTAAGCATTTATATTTTAAATACCCATTTGTATATACAAAATACTTACACTACAAATCCATAAACATAATTAAATAATTGGGTACCTCTTTATATTATTGCGCAACAAAGACATAATTAGATTTACATTGAATAATTTTAAAAACAAATCACAAATAAAACATTTTAGTAATTACATTTGCATTGAATATAAAGTTGCAGTTATCGAAGAAAATATTGCAATGTAACCGTAAATAGCTTATATTTTAATTTTATACTATAATTAAGACTTGAACCTATGAATCAATTGAATTTTAAAGCTAGACCTAAATTGTGGATAACATGATATGACGACTATTTAAAAAATATTAAATTTATAATTTTGCTAGAATAATTGTAAGTACACAAACAAATTAAAAAAAACTTATAATATAACAATATATTGAAATATTGTTCATATCGACTTAAAAAATGGTATCAATTCGTACAAGAAAATGATAAGAAAAAAAAACATAATCGTAATCACGGCTACAATAATAATCGTCAGTACCTTACAATTCTTTTTTTTGTTGTTCAATTTTAGTGTTTTACTTGTGATTTTTAATTAATATTATTTATTTTAATAATTTAAATGTTGAATGTACTCTTTAGGTACAATAATATCTATAGAATAATTTTGATACTGATTGTTATTATATTTTAATTAGAAATAAAACGATTCGCAAATAACACAAAGCCTAATGTAAGAAGGCATCTAAACTTTGATGAAGGTTATGTCCAAACTAGTGGCGGAATTGAAAAACACCAAAGTTAGTATTATAATATTTATAGTGTTGGTTTTTTTAATTTCAACTAAGAAATTACAATTGTAATGTATGTTTAGTGAAACAAAAATTTTAAGTGTACCTAGAAAAAACTCTAAGCAACTTATGGTTATATATAGTAAATAAATAAATATTGAAACCCTAAACCATAAAAATAATACACTATGCATACACACACGTAGTTAAACAAAAATGTTGTCATCTTCAATGCTAACGACAGACAGTCTGTCGTAGAGTATTTATTTCTGTACTATTTTAAGTGTAGGTTAAAAAACAAAATTACTTTTATATCCAATGGGTACTCATATGTTAGTATGTAGTAATCATAAATATGATAATGTATTTAAATCTACTCTATTTTCATATTTTATTATAATTTTCCAATGATATTTCAATAGCTAAATATTTATTAGTAGTACCTAATAATATTGGTTTAATAATCATAATATGCATATATGATACTAACTCAAATGGTCATTATTTGTTTAAATGTAAATACTTCTTGTTTTTATATTAATTCTATACTACAATATTATTTTAGGAAGTAGTGATGATGAATGTTATATTATTAAGATTGTAGCGTCCCCTTTCAAAGTTACAAATGATTATTCTTTTGAATGTGAACAAAAAAGCCAAAGTTTGTAACTTTTTTATTATCTGATATTGTTATGATGTTTAACCAAGAAATATATAAATAAAAACTTTATTATTAATTTTAAACGTTTTATATTGAATAAGTCTTAGCATTTAAACGTAACTGACAAAATAACCTTTTTGGTAGGTGTGCCAACCAAAAAATTGAGTAAGCTGATTGAAAATAAAGTATTCACTCCCAATTCAGCAAACAGGCCATCATCAGGTAGGAAGTACTATTCATCAAATTTGATATAACATATACATTTTTAGTAGTCATCAATTAAGAAATTATTTTTTAATACTATAAAATTGCTTAAAATTAATTTATATTGTTTACAATATGCAAATTTGTTTTTTCTCCACAGATATGATGATGAAAATATTGAGAGTTTCTCTAAAAATTAAAGACCATGTCTTCGAAATTACTGAAAGATTAGATAAAATTGAAGACAGTTTTTCAGCTTTTCAAAATAAAAATAATAGTGCAGATCATGAAATAGAAATAGAAAATATGTATTTGGACTATTTTCCTATTAAAAACGAAGAAGACTTAAATGAATTTGAAAGAACATTTAGATCAAGTGTTGTAAGTTAATCTTAATATATAGTTTAATAAACATAATATTGTACCTTAATGTTTTTTTAATCATTTTTTTAGATGTATTGCTTTTAAAATTATGTTTATTTATTCATTTTTGAAAAAAAAATTAGATAGCTGAAATCAAACGTTTTTCGAAAAAAGAGTTAACTCCAACAGTTCGAGAAGTATTAAGGCAGATTTTTAAAGATGAACTACTTCAAAATTATAGTTATGTTGGCCAAAAAGGTAAAAAGGTGTTTAGCAGTTTAGCAACATGCACTATGATTATGGGTATGAACATGTATACATATGATATTTAATATTAGTAACTCCAATATAATCAAATAAATGTCCAACATTTATTATTTGCTTACATTTTAATACAAATGTGTACTAATATGCTTGAAAAGTAATGGTATGGTGTATTAATATTTAATTATTTGTAACTGCCAATAATTTAAACAGGGTAAATGTCCTGCAAAACAAAATAAATGTAAGAGTTGGTTAACAAATTGATAGTGAAATCTAACCAGCTATTGTGCTAGTACCATATTGAATGTCTGATACCATTAAGACTTATATTTCAACACCTTTAGAAGTTACTTAATACTTTTAAAAATAATTATTGCACTTTGTTTTACAGAATCTATCAAAAGTATGAAAGACCACAAGGAAGCCACTAATGATAAAATTGCAAGTTCAATAAAAACATATTTGTCTGGTGCGCCATCTCGGCTCGTGGAAAAAAAAAATAATGTAAAATATAAAATGTTATTATATTTACATTTATTATGTATAATTGAACCAAACTGTTAATTCAAATAAAAAGATTTGTTTTGTTTTATGTATTATAGTATCATTATTTGTTTATATAATCATCTTTCTATAACCTAGTTAATATTAATTCATCTATCCATAATTTGAAAAAATTAAATAGAGTGACTGCAGTCTACACATTCAATTGTTGTGTATTTAATTAATATAAATTACAACAATTATTATTTTAAATAAAACAAAATAAATGGTCATTCTCTGTATACAAAAATAGCGTTATTAAAACATTATAAAAACAATTTGAAGTATGCTATAATGTTATTATAATATTTTCTTTACATTATAATGTTAACGTAATTATATTATTTTAACATTATAAACGATACATTACAAGAGTAATATTATAATTATATTATGGTAGAAATATTATTAAAATCTGATTGCGGTGGCCAAATAATATTACTCAAATGTTTTTGAAATATTAATGTTGCCTTTAAGATATGAAGAAATAATATTAATGTAATATTTGTCACTACAGTTGTAATATTTAAATAACGTTTTATTAATATGTTTTTGCTATCTGGGTGGTAGCTTTTGTTTTCTATTTTCTTACATGAATGAAATCGTCTTTAAAAAAAAATGTAGCAATATTTTTTTTTATCAATGAAGCAAATGTATTCATATTTGGTTAATATTTTTATTTATGGTAGATCTAATGTCAGATTTTATTTAATTTAAAATTTTGTAATCTAACCCATATTTTGCATTTCTAATGCATAACAGATATTTGATTATGGAATATAAAATTAATTAAACTTGGTGTTTGACTATCATCCATACATTTTATACCAAATATTTTCTTCAAAATATTAATGATTGACAAATAAATGCGTATAGGTTATAACATGTTAACAATAAATCAAACTTTTTCATTTGTTGATTTAATCAAGTCAGTCAATGTACATAAAATAAAATAAAGTAGTTGTATTGATTTGAAAATTCTACTGTTGTTCACTTGTGCTCTTTTAATTATTATTAAATTAATGTAAATATTTTTTTTATCAATATTCATTTTTTTGTAGAATATACTTTTAGTAATAATTACAATTTTAAATAGATTATTTTATTATATACAGGGTGTCCTACAAAGATCTGACAAACGAAATATATTGTATCATTATTATTATTT